GGGGGTGTCCCGGGGGAGGGGACACGGCACGCGGGGCTGCGTCCTCGGCTCCGCTCTCGGCATCGGGCCCGTCTGCCGGGAGGAACGGGGGCCCGAGGGGGGGGGACACCGTGAGCCGGCAAAACTGGAAATCGTGGAAAATTCACGCCCCGCGCTGTGGGCCGGTTTGCCCCAAAGGGAAGCGGGCTCGGGCCTCCTTGTAAAACGCCTCGTAATGGTAAAACCGCCAATTATCCACAGGCTTTAGCGTGAGGTTTTTCCTTTAATTACAAGCATATGGTGCCTCACGTATTCAAGGATGTCAAGGTACTTTGCAGACCTGAGGTGCTATTAAAAGTCTATTGTTCACATCTCTGCTATGCACCCCCTCTCATTTAGAATCGTAGAGTCATAGAATGGTTTGAATTGGAAGGGACCTTAAAGATCATCTAGTTCCAACTCCCCTGACATCGGCAGGGACACCTTCCAAGAGACCAGGTTGCTCCAAGCCCCATTCAACCTGGTCTTGAACACTTCCAGGGATTAAGTCTCCACAGCTTCCCTGGGCAACCTGTTCCAGTGTCTCACCACCCTCACAGTAAAGAATTTCTTCCTAATATCTAATCTAAATCTATCTTCTTTTGGTTTAAAACCATTACCCCTGCTGAAACAAGACTGTAGTTTAACAACACAGCAGAGTATCAGCATTCACCTTCGGAAATGTATCTAGTCTTTCCTGAGGTCTGAAATCATTATGGCAGCCTTGCAGAGAAATGGGTTCTAACACGATTCCGACTAGACAACTTTTCACAAATTCTGTCACCAAAGTCTTAAAAGTTAAGAAGGAAAACAATTAAGATAGTACATACCTTTTTTACTATCTTGATTGTCCCTTTTTTTTTAAAAAAAAAAAAAAGCTGAGGAAAATGTGAAAGTACCCGTCTAGTGGTAAATATCTTAGAAAGGGTTATTCTTGAACATCTGAAAGACAATGCTGTTTCTCAAGTAAACTCCCCCTTCAGTGCAGGGGAGAAGTACAAAACTTGTAGGTGTCCAAGTCACATTTGGTTGGGGGAAAAAAAATAAATCACTCCTAGGATGAATCTTTGTGCCCAGTGTTGCAGGAATGGAAATTTGTTTGAGTTATAATCGAGAATTTGTATTTTCAACGGGACTGAATGTCTTGCTCTTCTCAAGAAGGGGAACAGGGAAAGATGTAAACAAGTGAGCTGGCAGTCTGTTGAGGGGTAGAAGAGGCACCAAAGGGTCATGTCTCAGCCAGGAATACAGCAAAGCAACTGGACAATGATGAAACAGCTATCAGCACTCTCTGGTCTGGAAAACAGCTTTAAAACCATGCGACTACAGCTTGTAGGCTGCTTCCTGAAATGGCACATACCAGGACTCGCGTAACAATCCTGTGGCTCAGCACCTCTCTTCTCTGATGATAGGAAAGGGCACTGAGTTACAATTTCCTGTTATTCCTCATGTGAACCTCTGTACTGGTTACTCATCTTAATGGAACCATTTTAATACACCGTATGTGACAAATTCTGGCCCATGCCAGCATGTTCATCTGTAGCTCCTGATCTGAGCCACTCCCAGACCTTTAGTCACACTAGATTTCGTGTTAGTCACTTTATATTTTGGGAGGAAAAGTCACTGAGAAGAAACTGGAGACCATGAACTGAAACTGAGCCTGTGCAGTTTACAGCATGGATTCATTTGCTTTCAGTGCGGGGTACGCCCCACAGCAGTTGCAGGTTTCAGCCTACATAGTCTAAAAACAGCGAACTGCACTAACGTGAAAGCCAGAACATATTTTAGGAGCTTGTTAGCAATCAGTTCACACAAATGACCCTCTCTGCAAGCCAGGAGACACCGGCACTTGTACGCTCTCAAAAAGCAGTTTGAGTGAGAAAATGAGTATGCGGTCCATGTAATATCTGCAAATCTATCCTCTCTGCACCCCTCCACAATTAGTTCAGCATATTTTAAATGTAGAAAGTATTTTGAAAAGCTAAATTCTGTTTCTCTATGACACTTCAGGATAAAGATCTGGAAGACAAAATGGAAGAACAAAATGCAGTTTTATTTCAGAAGGCTATAGTAAAGAAATTCTTCCTCCTTTTTCATTTGTTTCATATTTTATTACAAAGGTCTCTTAAAGCTCAAAACGGGTTCTCATATAAATAATCGATTCAAAAGCTTTATAGTGGATCTCTCGCTGATGACAAATTTCACTGGTATTCTGATTTGCAAGCCCTAAATTTCAGTGGTTGCCATCTGTAATGTCAGTACCTGGGCGGCAGGCGTTTCCCAGTGCCCAAAGAGTTAACAGCTTTCTCTGGTACATTACTTCCAAATCTGATGCAATGTTTCCAAGCTTTAGTAGAAGCCAATAGCTTGATGAAGAATACTTTTGCTCAAGCTTATGAGACAAAATAGAGAAGGAAGAGTTATTCAGAAAGATGATGGGATGGACAAGGGAACAGTCCTGTAAATCGCTGTTTATTCTCTTTAGGTGTCTTGTGATATTCGAAGTTCAACAGCTGACGTGTGGTTTAATGTTAAAGTACAAAGGTGTTTTTCTGTGCCATCTCAGCTCTGCTTGTATAACAATGACTCAGCTCTGCAGACCTGGCTGGCAGCCCACACTGAGATTCTGTCTGTAGGGGCATTTTCATCACAAAAGCAGCACTAAAAGCAGCTACAGGTGTCTGGGTTAAAGAGAATTAGGAACTGTGGGTGCTTTTCATCTAATAAGCAGGGAACTAGAAGTAGTATATAGCTAACACCACACTGCAGAGAACTAAGGTAGTTAAAACTACGTAATTTGTGCAGGAGAGAAAAACGTCAGTGCTTGGATTTTAGTCTTACTATTGTGAAGGAGGAGGAAGCATTCTGGACATTCTCCTCACCATCAAGGGATCCAACCTGGATCTGAAGACAAAATACAGGTGGTATCACATCTGAACCAACAAAGTCTGTTCAGAATGGCCTTGACAGTATTTGTTTTTATTCACTGTTAGAGAGGTTCTACTGAAACATATTAATAATGATTAACAGCATTTTAGGACTTACTTCTTCTGTCTTTCTGTGTCTCAGAGTGCTTCATTGCTATCCTGCTAAAAAACTTCACCCCAGAAACCACATGCTAAATCGGCTCAGACGCAGCAGAGAGAACATGAACAAAGAGAGCTCCTTCACCGCAGTGCAGCTTGGACCAGATCCAAAAGACTCACAGGCAGGAGGTAGACTGAAAAGATGCAGACAAGTAATTTTTAGAATAGACCTAGTTATTAATTGTTGCTTTCACTGGCATAACGTGCAGACACAAACCTGTGATTTTAGGCTGATGGCGTCTTTATAAAATGCCCTTTAGAAGTCTCCTTACATGAGAAGCATAGTGAATTGCCACATGTTCCTCTGGGTCATTTAGACCTACAGAGAACTACGTGCCCAAGCCTGTTTATCATGGCAGCACAGATCTTAAAGCTGTATCCCATGTGTCCTGCGAAGTCAAAATATGCTTTAAACAAACAGGGAGACAGAGGAGTATTGCTCATTTTCCTCTTTTTACTACAAATCTGGATATTTCTGTTTTTCTTAAGCTTTCAGCTCCTGAAGTTGGTAGCTTATTAAAAACTTTGATTACTTAAGGTATTTTTAGAATAAGGTTTAAAAAACAAAACTCAGATAGTTGTCTTTTTTTGGTAATCTCATAACATTACAGTCAATCTCCTACTACTTTGAATTGTGACTCACTATTTTTGTAACCCTTGAGCTTGGCAGTACAAGGACAAGCAGTAACATGCCACAGCTCTGTTTGTCTTGTGGCTGGAACCTCAGCAAAGACTGGGCTTTATTGCAGTGTTACAGGTTTGGGGAGAAAATATTTATCTCCACAACTGTAAGCAGGTAAACATAATTATCCTGTGTCATACACAGTGAGACTGACCTGAGGTAGGTATGAGTAATATTATGAGATAGGAATATACATTGTTTTTTCCCTGTGTCAAGTAGCCCTATTTTTATCCAAACAAAGGAGCGGTACTGAACTTGCTGCAGAGACTCAAATCGCCTGACTGGCTGGCTGTCCCAAGTTAAACCCTTGCAACTAAAGATAAACAGATTGCTTCATTTGACATTGCTGGGGTACAAATGATATGCTGTTGCTAGGACATTAGTGTACATAAAAAACAGACCCAGCTCGTGTTCTAGAATGTACAGATTCGTTGGAAACATTTCTTTGACCCCAGATTCTTCTCTTCTGAAAGTAGGTTGCTTTGTACTACTGCCCAGTGACCTACTTTTGAAACCACTTGGAAAGAAATACGTGTTCCCAACTGCAGGCCCCATGCCCTGGCAAAGGCTGGAGCCACCTGTGCAGTCAGGCCAGTCACAAGATACAGATTTCTGTTTTTTCAGCTTTGCATTTATTTGTATACAGTTCACAGTCAGCTGCTTGATGATTCTTATTCACCAAGAGCTACTGGAGGAAGAGTGGCATATATGTTAAACACATATGCTTTGCACAACCACAACAGTTACCACACCATTTAAGAACAAACAGATCTCCTTTGTCTGTATCAAATTCAGGTAGTAAAATATTTTCTAAAGAAACTCTGAGGTAAAGCTGAAATTCAGTAAAATGAAGTCACAATGAATTAATTCCAGCTTGGGAGATTGTTCTGCACATGTACTGTGTGAAAATGAGGCAGAATATGTAAACACTGCATTCTGACTTTAAAAAGACGTACCTTTCAATTTGATAATAATTACCATTGAAGTAGTATAAAGAATCTCTGCAGATATGAAGTGTGTAACACTCAGGGCACAAGTTTACCACACAGAAAAAGCCAAGGGACAGGAAAAGAGGAATTTAAGCAGCTCTCTGTATTCGGCCCACCCCTTATCCCCCCAAAACAAAAGAGGTGGGCTCGTATAGGCACGTAGATGGCTATCGCAGATGAATAGTTAGGAAAATTAAATGAAACCAATCAGTGGAGGCTGCAAAATGCTAATGGTGGCATAGAGTACCTTGCCTGCAGGCTATGGAGATTAGTTTGATCCTGGTAGGCCCTGGAGTTGTGCGCACAAAGCCTCTTTTGTGTATCTCTTTTGACAGAGGGATAACTGAGGAAAATAATGAGGCTTTTTGCATGGAACTGATGAATTTAAACCATAATTGCTTTTAAAATAGTCTGCATTCGATTTCAGCACGTGCTTGTCATTTCCTTGAAGAATTAATTTTTCAGGAGCCATTATTAACAATATATTTAAAGAACTACCCATGGTAGACCCAACTTGTTGGGACTTTATTCTGATCTGTTGATTTGAATACTTAAACAGAAACCGAACAACAATAGTGAAAGCAGATTAGTCATGGGATTTAGCCATACTAAGAAAAAAAATCAAGGGAAGGATCCTGTGTTTTCTGGTTTACACAGAAAGGCAAGAAAATGACAGAAATTTCTCCCTTCTCCATGTACAGGGACATTAGAAAACAAAGACACGCACACTAACATCCTTAATTCAAGTCTGATATGCTCAAACACAGGCCAGTCTTTAGATTAGCCTGTGCATAATTTCCAGTTCAGCAGATGTGGCCTTTCACATCTGTAAATATTAGTTACTTGTGGCCTTCCTCTCAGGCCTCCCTGGTGGTGTTTGCCTGGGGGAGTTCCTGGAGCAGCGCCTGGGACATACAGCACACACAGGCCAGCCTTGGAGCAAACATTGAGTCACACTGGCACTGTGCAAACAAAATGAACCTTTTGGAAACACTGAGCAAAACTGGCAGCATAAAGAAAACAAATGTGATGCCTTTTGTCCTAAATTAATGTAGCCGAATAATATTTCCAAGGTTGGCAATTGCCATGGCGCTCTCTGAACTTTCCAGTTACAGTTTTCCTCTCTTCCTGTTTCTGCATTGTGAATAATTATTGTCGGGATGATTTGTTTCCTTTTTACTGTAAACCAGGAGGTGCTACCCCTGCTAGGGGAAAGCAAAGCAAAAGGGTGGTGGTGGTGTGGTGGTGGTGGTTTTGTGTTTGTTTGGTTGTTTTTTTTAAAAAAGAAGGAAATAGAGCTGTACTGAATCCTGCCATTCACATGCATGTTCATGCTTTGAGTGGAGGATTGAACAGCAAGTTCATCTGTGTTGACTGAAGGAGCTAGAAGCAGATAAAACACAACCACAAAAACCTTTCTGGATTTTGTGTACTCTAGATATGATATAAAATGAGTTAAGAGCCTGTCTGAAAGGTATAATGAAGCTTAATTAACACAAAACACATTTCCACAGCAGTTCAGAGAAGGAAGTTGCTCCATAACCCGATCAAAGCTTCCTGGTCTGAAGGCAAGTAAACAGCTATTTGAATTTCAAATGTCAGCATTTCATCACAGGGGTTGTTTTGCAACCCCACATTAGAGAATTAAGCTGTCAGCAGCTGGAGTTGGTTCGAAGTGCAGCTCAGGAAATGAGCCGCCTAACGAGGGGCACGCTCAGCCGGCAGCAAGCGTGATGCACCAGGAGTCACCAAAACTCCAGTTTTCTAAATAACATGTTTTTCCAGCTTTTCTAACTCACTTCTGCTCTTCCCGGCTTTTCCCCACGGCCACGGATGACAGGACCAGCCCTACGGCCTAGTCCAGGCGCTGCCGTCAATGCTCCAGGCCACCCCAGGGAAGGGGGTCGGTCAGATGCGGGCAACAAAAACAAAAAGCCGGCACCAAGGGCAACCCCTGTATCTCCGGGGCTCTCTTCCCCCTCTCCCTCGCAAGCTCTTCCCTGAGCGCTGCCTAGGGCCGAGACAGGGGCTAAACACCCGCCCCGGGCCCATCTCT